GCCTTCGACCTGGTCAACATCCATCTCTTCCACGACGCATCCAACCTCGTGGCATGGGAGACCAGCCCATCCGTGTACTCGGGAATCCGGTACAAGGCTCTGGGCTATGTGCTGGACTGGATCATTGACCAGCGCTTCGAGAGAGTGTCCTACTTTGTCTTCGGAGACTTCAACTTCCGAATAATTTATAAACCTTACCAAAACATAGGCTAAGTACTTTCCCACCTGAGGGCTTGCACCGTCCATCAGCAAGTAGGAGCTGAGGCCGGGGCGCAGTGACGTGTGCACAGCCTGCCCTTTACCCCTGCCCAGGCCCCCCTTTCCACAGCACCTGCCACAGCCCCAAGCTGGCCTTCTCTGTAATATTCAGAACTGAATGTGAACTTTATAGCTAGGCCTGGGTGTTCTTAAGAATTTTGTAAACTGTATTGTCCATCTTTTGTTACCGTTTTATGGTGCCAAGTATTGTACATTCAAACAGTAATATCGCGGGAGAAGTAGAAATAGTTAACCTGCTTCGGGTAGAAACCGCTTCTCGCATGGGCTGTATATAAAATATTAAGAGAATCAGAACTCTGTGTCCGCATAGCTCCAAACAGCCTCCACATGCCCTGTCCACCGTTTCTCCTTGCACACGTATGTCCAAGGGTGGTCAGCCTGCCAGCAAGCACACAACACTACAGACTCGATGGCCTCAGACTGGTCCAAGAGAACCACTACCATTGCAAGAGCGTGGACGTCCTGTGCCCAAACTGCTGTGGACAACACGGTGGGGTCTGTGTGAGTGCTGTGGTCACTGCCCATCAGCATGCCACACACAGACCCCACTGCCACAACTGTGTGGGCTCAGCCCCTGGTCATTCTGAAGGCCTGCAGAGTGGACAACTCCTATCCTAAGCAATAAAACTGATAATGGTGAAAGTCACTCTGCCCTCGCCTCCTTCTGCCTTTGCGTCCCCTCTCACACCAGGGAAAAGGGCCACCTCTGGACCATGCTACGTGGGGGAGTCCCCCTCCTCCATACCCTGCTATATAAGGGAGGGGGGGGTCCCTCCTCCACACCCTGCTATATAAGGGGGGGTCCCTCCTCCACACCTGCTATATAAGGGGGGGTCCCTCCTCCACACCCTGCTATATAAGGGGGGGTCCCTCCTCCACACCCTACTATATAATGGAGTCCCCTTCATACCCTCTATAAGGGGCCCCTCTGTCACACCCCGCTATTTAAGGGGGGGGTCCCTCTACCACACCCTCCTATACGGGGTTTCCCTTCCTCCACACTCTGCTATAACTGAGATTCCCCCTCCTCCACACCCTGTGATGAAGGGTTCCCTCCTTTCCACCTGGCTAAGACTATATCGAGGGCCCTGGAGCTTGGGGTATAGCTTTTGTCTCAGGAAAGTAAACCATTAGAAAAACATGGGGTCTTCTGGCTTGATAGGATTCTCCTGGAACTAAATGTGTGACTTCCTCCATCTCCAGAGCCTGCACAAAGCCCTTGATCAATGCCAGCACTGATTTCCAAGAAAACAGCTCCAAAAAAAGGTCTGGTTTCCTTAACTATTGGTGCAGCCGCTAATTAAGCAGTGAGAAAGGAGGAAAGCCGCAAAATCCTATTAGCCGCTAACATTTCAATCTTATTCTAATTACGCCCCACACGGGATTCAAGTCCACAATCCGGGAGGCATATTAAGATGCAGCTGTCTTTGGGCCCTTAAAACAAAAGGAGCCTATCCACCAGGGTAGACTCCCCAAGGCCAGGATGTTGGCTGCCACCAGCCAGCGGGCAGCCCCAGCGCATCCAGGACAAAGTCACTGCTGCGCTCAGGAGTGCGCGCTGCCCCAAAGGGACCCTTCCAGGACCTGGGATCCACCACTGTCCTCAGGCTGCCAGCGCTGCCCCCCCACTCTGGCCACCAGGAGACTCACTGGGGCCACTAGCCTCTGCTGGTGAGTGCCACGAGTCTGGGCCTCGGAGTTGCCGAGCTCCAGTGAGGGCTGTGCCCAGTGACAGTTTCTTGGATTATCTCCTCCCCAAATTTTGGTGTGAATTCCACAGGAATTGTGGCCAACGTAATAATCTCGTGTGATGGTAGCTGAAGCGTTACACCGCAAAGCTGCCGGTGTTCGATGTTCGTTTGGTGCCGGAGGAAAAATGCCGGGAGGGGTGCGGTTTCCGTCCCCTTTCAGACGGGAGCCTCACAGAGCGCGTTTAACTTGGGCAAGTTCGTGCCTCCAGGGGCCACGGCGCGGCCTTTCCTGCGCGCGGAGGGCCCGCCTCGCCTGAGCGGCTCCGCGCCCCGCGCCGGCTGCTCAGCTCTTGGGCAGGTCCGCGTGGCGCACGGCCCGGGGCGCACAGCGAGCTCTGCGCCTCCGCAACGCCAGGCCTCCTGCCGCGGCGCCAGGGGAGAAGGGACAGCACGCCGGCGCTGGCGCAGAGCTTCGTCCCCAGTTGGACACGGAAGAAACCGCGCGGCGCAGCCCCAGAGCCGCGGCCCCGACGCGGACGTGTTAAATAATTTATTGATTATACAAAGTGATTCCGCCCAGTCGACGGACGGCTCGCTGCCCGCGCCCAGGTGCCCACCGCGGGGCCGCGGACAGAGCGCAGCCGCCTGGGTCCCCGCGCCGCGCAGAGCGGCCACCGTATAACTTATTCTGTAAAAATATATATACATAGCCCCCCGCGCCCCGCGGGCCCGCCGCCCGTACCCTGGTTGCTCCAGCCTCCGCGTCCTCACAAGGCGTCCCCCGCGCCGCCGCCGCACGGGCTGACTAGCGCCAAGTTCGAGGCTTTGTGCTTCTTAAGCAGCCGCGTGATCTTCTCGTCGTCCGAGTTGGGGTCCAGGGGCCGGTTGTACTCGTCATCGTCCTCCGCGTCCGAGCCGCCCACCTTCAGCTTCTCGGCGTCCGAGTCCTGCTTCTTCTTGGCCGACGCCATCTCCGCCGCGTGCCGTTTGCGCCACTTGGTCCGGCGGTTTTGGAACCAAACCTGCGGGGACCGGGCTGTCAGGCGGCTCGAGCGGCCGGCACAGGGACCCGCTCCAGGCCCGGGCTGCAGCACGGCGGCGTCTCCCGGGCTGCGCCCCCGGCTCTTCGCAGGACGCGGGCCGGGCCTGGGGCGCAGCCCGCCCGCGGCGCCCGCTCACCTTGACCTGGCTCTCGGTCATGCCCAGCGAGTAGGCCAGCCGCGCGCGCTCCGGCCCCGCCAGGTACTTGGTCTGCTCGAAGGTCTTCTCCAGCGCGAAGATCTGCTGCCCGGAGAAGGTGGGCCGCGAGTGTTTCTTCTTGCCGTCCTTCTCCAGGACGCCGCCGGCCTGGCCTGCAACGAGGACGGTGAGGCCGGCCCGTCCCACCCCGCCCGCCGCCCTCCGCGCCCGGGCCCGCACTCACCGGGGCCGGCCAGCCGCGGGTCCCTCCAGGGCGAGCCCTGCACCACGCCGGGCCAGAAGATGGGCGGCCGCCCGGGCAGCTCGGCCAGCGGCTTGGGGTAGCCACGCGCCACAGCGGCCGCGGGCCCGAAGTAGACGCCAGCCGACGAGGCGAGCCCGTTGAGACGAGGCAGGCTGCCCAGGAGGCCGCCGCCCGCCGCGCCCACGGGCCGCCCCAGGATGTCACTGATGCCGTGCGGGGTCCCGAGCGGCAGCTGCGCGCCCAGGCCGCCCAGCGCGGGCGCCTTGAAGCCTGCGGGCCCCTGCAGCGCGTATGGGAACAGCGACGTCTTCATCTCAGCCATGTTGTGCAGCGCAGCCAGCGGCGCGCTGCTCAGCACGAACGCGCCCGGGCGGTTAGCGTCCATGGGCGCCGCCGCCTCC